AGTCATTTGTGCTAAAAAAAAAAAAAAAAAAAAAAAAAGCCTCCGGGACGAAATACTAGGCTGTTTTATGTCCAGGTTCTATTATGCCTAATCTCTACTCTTCTTAAACAATGCTGTACTGCTTTCTGTATAGGGTGAATTTACAGAGAGAAAAGTGCATTGGAATCCAATCAAAATGACTCCATAAATTATTAGTTCATCGACATTAAGTGCACACTCTGTTTAATTTACACATGGTGAAATGAATCAATCTGCTCAGACAGTTCACGGCTGATAAACAGCTCCATCTGGCTGATTACAGTCTACTAATGTCCTGCATGTTCCCAAACTCAACTCTGATACACCAGTGCCACATCAAGTACACACTGTTACAGCCTTATAGCATGCAACATCGACAGAAGAAGCTTTTCCGAAGCATTGATTGATGTGTGCACACATATTTGCAAAATGGTAGGCACTATGTTCATATTTTTTGCTGATTTGATTATTTTCCTTTGATATTAACACTCAGTGGCTAAGACGAGAATCTTATGGTGTGCATCATGAAGGAATCCCTCGAGTCGTTCTCATATAAGATTTTTAGCCATGCACGCCTGCAAGACGCGCATTTTTTCCACTCTTGGTGCAAGCACTCGCAGCACAAAGGTCAGCTAATGACAGTGCTACAGTCCTACGAAAGTGTGGTTTTATATGTCAGTAAGGCATTTCGTCTCCTCCGCTACCTATAATAACCCTTTCCCCACCATCATGAAACCTGAAACAGGAAGGAACAATGATGATAATCGGCATGCAGCGCAGAGTGGATAGCTTCTACACCTGATGAGGACCTCACCACGTTTCATTGAAAGCGTGCCCCAGACCATCCTCACCAAACCATCCAGTGAGTCCTGGTGCCTTGTGAGTGTGGGCGGAGTCATCCAGGAAAAGACCACTCCCATCAGGATGGAACTGTTTCATCATCATCAGAAGAACTTTGTGTTGATTTGCAGTGATGCTTTGCTCTAACGAGACAAGTGGAACCACGCCAAGCCAGAAAAATAAATAAATGCCCCCCAAAGCATAATAGAGCCACCATTTTTTCTTTCATTTGCCACATATTGTGTGTTTTAGTCAGGTCTTGTAATAATCCTACCCCCCTGCACCCATATGTGTTGTCTGTCTTCATTTTAAAGGCACTTAGCTTACTTATAAACTTCAGTGTGAATACAACACGATGCACACAAGCTGAAATATGCATAAACTACATAAAACAACCTGCTGGCTTTCAAGAAGTAGAACTCACTTCCAACAGGTTTGCCTTGGCTATAAACAAATCTTGTCCTTATTGTTACTTTTTTGTATGCCAGAAAGGAGCTTACAAACACTAAGCAGCTAAACAGGCAGGAAGCAAACAATGGCAGTGACTCTTGTATATTGATGACCACTCCTACTGTAATAGGTCAAAGAGATGAAATATAAACCCACAGTCTCTGTAGAGTTTTTCCCCCAGCACAAGTCGGGTGCGACTGCAGGTCCTACGGGCAAAACATGTCTTAACCCGTATCTGTGATGAGCTTATTGTCTTTCTGTGAACACTGGATCATGATACCGAATGCTTTCAGAGGTTGGTGTTAACAACCAACGTGACAGATTACAGACACAAAAGGACCATTCATGACAAAAAAAAAAACAAATATAACTGAATCCACAAATATAACAGAATATACTACAGTGCTGTTGAATTCTTGAATCTGATTGGTCAGAAAGTGTTGATTAATTTTCTATAACAGCAGCTTTGACAGTTGTTCTGGCTGTAAAAGCAAATAACAAATTTACACTGATGCATTGGTTCTTATATGCTATTGTTTCTACAGTAACAGATCATTTACAGAGATGTGTATAGCAGAAGCTTCACAAAAACAGATTAAAAATACCTGTTACAACATAAGTGATAACAGGAACTAAGAGATTTTGTGCATAATACCTCAGCCACATCGGGTCAGAAAGACTACAACAGCTACATCCCTCTTCCTGCACCATGTATTTTTAAGGTTATTATGTTGTGCCGATTTTAATCTTAGCAAACACAGGACTTGATATTTATCGAAGATATTTCCAGAAAAAAAAAAGTCTGTGAATAACTGTGAATAAGGAGTTTTGTTTTTAATGTCTACAACAAGTAGAACTTGTTGCCAACTACATCACAGGGGACGTCGATGCTGAAGCAAGTCCAGT